AAAAAATGAATAGCTTTCTCTCCACCACATGAAAACACAGTAAGAAGTTGGCCATCTTTCAAGTCAGAAAGAGTGTCCTCCCCAGAAACAGATCAGCCAGGATCCTGACTGGTACTTTCCAGCCTCTTGATCTGTAAGAAATACAGTTTAAGTATCCCAGTCTGCTTTATTCATTGAAGGTAGCCTGAATAACTAATACAGTGTCCAAAGAATGCCTTATTCACTTTGGTGTTCTGAGTCAGCCACACAGAAAACAGTCCTTCAGTATAGCTCTCCTGCAAAGCTAGAACTTTTGACATACATTCCACTCTTGTCTTTTCTTATCTAGGGAGAATCTGGGATTTTTTTTCTTGACTATATTTCCATTGTGCTGACTGAGGGTGCTGTCACATGTAAATTCAACACATTTTCTTACCTGCTTCATTGCAGCTCTTTTTGACTACTCTTGGCTTTCACTGCTGCAACCTCTGAACTGGCTCCTAGAGTTCTCATAAGGCCAATTTATTCCATATAATGTGATGTCAGTGTCTCCATGGGGCAGAGAGCCTGAGGCTTCCAATTCCTGTGTCTTGTTGAGGTCACTCAGCTGTGTGGTTTTAATAAAGTCTTAATCAAAATCTCAACATTTATGGATAAGTAGAAAAATCCATCCTAAAGTTCATATGGAATCTCAAGGGACCTCAAATAACCAAAACCATCTCATAAAGAACAGTTTTTTGTCTTGATTTTTCCTGATTTCAAAATTTACCACAAAGCTACCACAAGCAAAGCAGCATGTTACTAGCATAAAAGCAGACATATCGTACAATGGAATAGAATAGAGAGCCCAGAAGTAGACCACTGCATATGTGGTCAAGTGATCTTCTGTCCATGTTCTCAGATCATTCATGGGCATGTACATCTCTCTTCAACCACAGATGTAAGGATAACTGCATATCCACATACAAAAGAATGAACTTGTGCCCTTTAACTTATACCATCATAAAAGATTTAACTTGGGATGGATTAAATACCTAAATGTAAGACCTAAAACTATGAAACTAGAAGAAAGCATAGGGTGTAACTGCATGACATTGGATTTGGTATCGATTTCTTAGATATCACATCAAAAGCACTGACCATAGAAGGAAATATAGGTGAAAGGGACTTCATCAATTTCTGTTCATCAAAGGAGAGAGTCAACAAGTGTGACAAGAATGAGAGAAATTATTTGCAAGTTATATATCTAAAAAGGAATTAACATGAAGAATATATAGGAAACTCCTACAATTCAATAACAAAAACACAACCCAATTTTAAAGTGTGCAAAGCAGTTAGACACTTCTGCAAAAAAGATATGCAAATGGCCAACAAGTACATGAAAAGGTGCTCAAAGTCACTAATTATTTGGGAAATGCAAATTGAAACTATAGTATCACCCTATGACCCTGGTATTAAAGGTAACACAGAAAATACCAAGTGTGGACAACAGTATGAAGAAATTAGAACCTTGTGTACTACTGGTGTAAATGTGGAATGGAAGTAGCTATTATGGAAAACAGTAGGGTAGTTCCTCAAAAAAAATTAAAAATAGAATTACCATATAATTCTGTAGTCCTACTTCTGGATGTGTGTGAATCCAAACCAATACTAAGGAGATATTTACATCCCCATGTTCATTTAAGCATTGTTCACAATGGCCAAGAAGTGGAAAAAAAATACCTAAATGTCTGTTGATGGATCAAAGGATAAACAAAGTATGGTATATACCTGTGAATGGAATATTACTAATTCTTTAATAGGAAAGAATTTCTGATACATGTTACAACATGTGTTTGAAATAAATGTGCTTAAAAATGTGCTCAGTGAAATAAACTAGTTGCAGAAGGACAATTTATATATGAAAGTAGAATAATTCCTGCCAGTGGTGATGGAAGGAGTAATGGGGTTATGGGTATACAGAGTTTCAGTTGGCAACATGAAAGAAGTTCTATGGTTGGATGGTTGGGATGATTGCAGAACATTGGGAATGTACTTGATGCCATTGAACTGAACACTTACAAATTTTTACATGGTTAATTTTATGTTACATGTTATTTGCATCTTAAATAATAGTTAAAAATTATTTTTTAAGACTTCATGCATTTGGGGTTCTTCATTCTCATTTTGCTTTTCCTGTCATTCCAAACCAATATTCTAAATTGTTATGGCTATAGCCTTTAACTCTTTAGTTTAATAAAAAGAGAACTCTATTGATAGTGAGCCTTGTAGGATTAATTCTGGTTTCTAAGTTGGTGTGTGTTTGTGTGTTTTCACAGAACAATTGGGTATGCTTCAATGTTAGGCTGTACCTAGTTCCTGATTTTCTTTTTTTTCCCCTCTTTCTTTTTTTTTATTATATTAAATTAGCCAACATACAGTACATCATTAGTCTTTGATGTAGTGTTCAGCGATTCATTAGTTGCATGAAACAGCCACTGCTCATCACCACACCTGCCCTCCTTAATGCCCATCACCCTGTTACCCCATCTCCCCACACCCCTCCCTTCTGTAACCCTCAGTTTGTTTCCGAGTGTCCAGAGTCTTTCATGGTTTGTCTCCCTCTCTGATTTCTTCCCAGTTCTCCATCCCTTCCCCTAATGTCCTCCGTGCTATTTCTTATGTTCTACATTTAAGTGAAAGCATATGATAATTGTCTTTCTCTGCTTGACTTATTTCACTTAGCATAATACCCTCCAGTTCCAACCACGTCAATGGTAGATATTCATCCTTTCTGATGGCTGAATAATATTCCATTGTGTATGTGTACCACATCTTCTGTATCCATTTGTCAGTTGAAGGGCATCTCGGCTCTTTCCAGTTTGGCTGTTGTGGACATTGCTGCTATGAACATTGGGGTGCATGTGGCCCTTCTTTTCACTGCATCTGTATCTTTGTGGGGTAAGTACCTAATAGTGCAATTGTTGGGTCATAGAGTAGCTCTATTTTTAACGTCTTGAGGAACCTCCATACTGTTTTCCACAGTGGCTGTACCAGCTTGCATTCCCACCAACAGTGTAAGAGGGTTCCCCTTTTTCCACATCCTTGCCAACACTTGTTGTTTCCTGTCTTAGTAATTTTTGCCATTCTAACTGGTACAAGGTGGTATCTCATTGTGGTTTTGATTTGAATTTCCCTGATGGCTAATGATGATGAACATTTTTTCATGTGTCTGTTAGCCTTTTGTATGTCTTCTTTGGAGAAGTGTCTGTTCATGTCTTCTGCCCATTTTTTGACTTGATTATTTGTTTTTTGGGTGTTGAGTTTGAGAAGTTCTTTCTAGATCTTGGATACCATCCCTTTATCTGTAACGCCACTTGCAAATATCTTCTCCCATTTGGTGGGTTGCCTCTTAGTTTTGTTGAGTGTTTCCTTTGTTGTGTAGAAACTTTTTATCTTGATGAAGTTACTATTGTTATTGTTGCTTTCAAAAACCTTGGTCCTTTTCCCTCTATTTTTTGGTCTTTGAATTTTTTTTTCTTTAATTTTATTTTGTTATGTTATGTAAATCACTACACAGTACATCATTAGTTTTTGATGTGGTGATCCATGATTCATTGTTTGTGTATAACACCCAGTTCTCCATGCAGTACGTGCCCTCCTTGATACCCATCACCGGGCTAACCCATCCCCCCACCCACCTCCCCTCTAAAACCCTCAGTTTGTTTCTCAGAGTCCATAGTCTCTCACAGTTCATCTCTCCCTCCGATTTCCCCCCTTCATTTTTCCCTTCCTTCTCCTAACGTCCTCCATGTTATTCCTCATGTTCCACAGATAAGTAAAACCACATGATAATTGTCTTAATTTGTTTAACTTATTTCACTTAGCATAATCTCCTCCAGTTTCATCCATGTTGATGCAAATGTTGGGTATTCATCCTTTCTGATGGCTCAGTAATATTCCATTGTATATATGGACCACATCTTCTTTATCCATTCATCTGTTGAAGGGCATCTCAGCTTCTTCCACAGTTTGGCTATTGTAGACATTGCTGCTATGAACATTCGGGTGCATGTGGCCCTTCTTTTAACTACATCTGTAGTAAATACCGAGTAGTGCATAGGGTAGCTCTATTTTTAATTATATGAGGCACCTCCACACTGTTTTGCAAAGTGGCTGTACCAACTTGCATTCCCACCAACAGTGAAAGAGGGTTCCCCGTTCCTCCACATTCTTGCCAACACCTGTTGTTGCTTGTGTTGTTGTTAATTTTAGCTATTCTGACAGGTGTGAGGGGGTATGTCACTGGAGTTTTGATTACATCCCCCTGATGATGAGTGATGTTGAACATCTTTGCATGTGTTGGCCAATTGCATGTCTTCTGTGGACAAATGTCTATTCATGTCTTCTGCCCATTTTTTAACTGGATTATTTGTTTCTCAGGTGTTGAGTTTGGTAAGTTCATTATGTATTTTGGATACTAGCCCTTTATCAGATATGTCATTTACAGATATCTTCTTGTTGAGCCTTTCCTTCAGTGTGCAGTTTTTATTTTGATGAAGTCCCAGTAGTTTATTTTTTGCTTTCCACCCCCACCAATAATGGAGTACACACTTGTAAAAGCTGTGTAGCAGTTGTTTGTTCTATTGGTTTCATTTCCATGAGGATGGGATCTCCCCCCATCACCCCTGCCCCGTGAGTTACCGTTATACAGTCTGTCACTGCTTGATGTTCTTGAATGTTTTCACTTTTGTCTTGAGTTGGGGTCTTGGATTAAAATAGATTTGCATTTGAGAATTAGTTCTGAAATAATCCCTTCAAAAGCTCTACAAAGGACTGTATAGAAATAACAGTAATTTCTCATGTGATCTTGGGCCAGTCATCATACCTGTTTCCCTATCTGTAGAATGGCTGGGCAGTACATATATTTTTTGAACATATTGCATGTAGGAAGCTTATCCCACCCTATTTTGCCTACTGTTAAAGAAACAACTTCAGAAACATGTGTACATGCTTTAATCCCCCTGCACATCTCTTCCTAGGCCACTTCATGATGCAGTTGAGAATGATCACTTGGAAATTGTCCGCTTGCTCCTCTCCTATGGTGCCGACCCCACTTTGGCTACATACTCAGGTAGAACCATCATGAAAATGACTCACAGCAAGCTCATGGAAAGGTTTCTGGCAGGTAGGTCACTTCAGGAAATAGGAATGACAAAGTTTAAGAAATGTTCTTTATTAAAACTCAAATGGTAACTAATTTGGATTTTACAAGGCATGAATTAAAAAGCTTTAGATTTTAGGACAGTAGTAATGTTGCCTTTTGTTTGGTATAATATAGTATCCTAGTTAATTACTTTGGTGACTAGCCATTGATTCTGCATTTAGTTTGATCTACTTGTACTAATGCTTAAGAAGATTTCCTAAATATTTACATGTTCTATGTGTGCATTTTTCACTTAGGTATTTTTACATTTCAAGTCTGAGTGAAAATGAAGACTCAGACATCCTGTTTATGAAATTATTTGGGTGATTCCATGGGTTTTAGCAGATAAGCCATTACTTAAGCCACAGTCATTATAGGGTTCCTAAAACACAACACAAGGTTTTCATGAATGCCAGGAATGAATGTATAGTTAAATTCTTTATCATTCACTTAGTGCCAAAGAATGTCACTGACTCAGATGGTAATAAATTTGTCTTAAGTTGGCCTCATGTGGTGGAAAAAACATCTTAGTGTCAAGGAGGGGAGAGATAAATGTAATGCTCCTTTATTTTTTCATCTGGAGGCGAAGTAATTCTTAGCTTGCAATCTAGCCTTTATGGTGTGCTAGGGTATTAGAAGTGATCTATACCTCGGGAATATGAGTGATTAGGTACATAGATTTTTGTCAGATACAACAAAAAATAGTTTGTGGGAGAATTGTATCGTGTGCAGCAAGGGAATTCTGTGAGGTACGGAGGAAATGACATGCTAGCCTACTCTGAATTCATAGGAGAATGCCCCCAACTCTGTTAGCATTTTGATCTATCAGCAAGTTTTATATTATTATTTTTAAATGTTATTTTAATTGTGGTAAACAAACATACAACTTTAAATTTTCTATCTTACACATTTTTAAAATTTTCTTAAAAAGATTTTATTTATTTATTTGAGACAGAGAGCAGAGAAAGCATGAGCAGGGTAGGGGAGGGGCAGAGGGAGAGAGAAAGAAGCAGGCTCCCCAATGAGCAGGGAGCCCAATGCCAATGCCAAGCTTGATCCGAGGATCCTGGGATCATGACCTGAGCCAAAGGCAGATGCTTAGCTGACTGAGCCACTCGGGCGCCCCTATCTAACACATTTTTAAGTGTACAACTCAGTAGTGTTCAGTTATATCCATACTGTGTAACAAATTTCTAGAACATCTTCATTTTGCAAGACGGACCCATTAAACACTAATTTCACTTCCCCTTCCCCCCAGACTCTGGTAAGCAATAATCTTTTTATTTTTTGTGTGTCTGATTTTAACTACTTTAGATACCTCATATGAGTGGAATCCTAAACAAATTTGCCCTTTTGTGATTGGCTTTCAGTAAGCATAGAGTTTTCAATATTCATCTGTGTTGTAACCTGTCAGAATCTCTTTTTTTAATACTGAATGACATTGCATTCTATGTATATAGCACAATTGTTTATCCATTCATCTGAGGATGGGATTTGAGCTGTTTCTACCTCTTGGATATTGTGAATAATCTTGTAACGGATATGGGTAGGTAAATAACTGAGATTCTGATTTTTTTTTAATTTTATTTTATTATGTTAACACCATACATGACATCATTAGTTTTTAATGTAGTGTTCCATGATTCATTGTTTGTGTATAACACCCAGTGCTCCATGCAGAACATGCCCTCAATACCCATCACCAGGCTAACCCATCCCTCCTACCCCCTCCCCTCTAGAACCCTCAGTTTGTTTCTTAGAGTCCATAGTCCTCATGGTTCATCTCCCCCTCCGATTTCCCCCCTTCATTGTTCCCTTCCTTCTCCTAATGTCCTCCATGCTATTCCGTATGTTCCACAAATAAGTGAAACCATATGCTAATTGACTTTCTCTGCTTGACTTATTTCACTTAGCATAATCTCCTGCAGTCCCCTCCATGTAGATGTAAAAGTTGGGTATTCATCCTTTCTGATGGCTGAGTAGTATTCCATTGTATATATGGATCACATCTTCTTTACCCATTCATCTGTTGAAGGGCATCTCAGCTCTTCCTACAGTTTGGCTATTGCGGAGATTGCTGCTATGAACATTGGGGTGTATATGGCCCTTCTTTTCACTACATCTCTGTCTTTGGGGTAGATACCCAGTAGTGCAATTGCTGGATCAGAGGGTAGCTCTATTTTTAAATTTTTGAGGAACCTCCACACTGTTTTCCAAAGTGGCTGTACCAACTTGCAATCCCACCAAGAGTGTAACAGCGTTCCCTTTTCTCCACAACCTCTCCAACATTTGTTGTTTCTTTCCCTGAAAATAGTCTAAAACTAACCACTTTACTATAGGAGTAAAAAAAAGAAATCAAAGAATTGAAAATATAGCTACAAGAATTTGTTACTGGATACACAATATAAAAAGATGTAAATTGTGACATCAAAAACATAAAAGTGAGGAGTAAAAGTATAGAGTTCTTGTGATTACAGTTATCAGTATAAAACACAGTTCTATCTCTAAGATCTGGCAAGTAAGCCTCAAGGAGGCCAAAACAAAACCCTACAATAGATAAACAGAAGACAAAGAGAATCAAAGCATACCACTACAGAAAATCATCATTTCACAAAAAACAACCAAAAGGAAGATAGCAATAAATCTCTACATTCTCAAGATAGTGATTAACAAGGGCAGTCAAAGTGTGGGTATGTTGTGGAAAACTGGCCTCTGAGCTTTGAAGCCAAAATATAACACAGAGACCGAGTTTGGGATAAAGAAGAACAATCTTTTCTTTGCCAGGCAAACAGAGTCTGCAGCAGCTTCTGGTCTTCAAGAACCTGCAAGCCTTCCTGGAGGAAGGGGCTGGGGCATTTTATAGGGAAATACAGGATCTGGCTGGTTTTAACAGGAATGGGGTGTACTGCCAGGTTCCTTCATCAGGTCTTTAGGGTGCTACCAGGTTCCTGGAACAGAGGGCTAAGAAGAGAGGAGAAGAAGAGAGGAAAATGATTTTTTTTTTTTTTGATTGAGCTTCGTGGGAAGAGTTAAGATGGCAGAAGAGTAGGGAGATCTTAGGCTTGCCTTGTCCCTGGAACACAGCTAGATTAAATCACTTTGAACACCCAAGAAATCAAGTCAATGATTGAGAGAGTAAAAATGCACAACTAGAACTGTGAGGAGGGGGAGGGGGGCATATCATGGAATGTAGGAACTGCAGAGAGTTCATTTGGAAGAGAGAAGAACTGCAGGTGTTGTGATGGAGGTGGGAGCTCTAATTGTGGCGAGAGGAGTGAGAGAGGGGGGAGAGAGAGAGAGAGAGAGAGTGCACTCTGAGAATTACACAAGAAAAATTCTTCCCAAAACCATTTACTGGGAAAAGGAGAGGGGAGGACTATTGCAAGATTTTATAAACAGAAGAGCGCACAGTCTGATGTTTTGGAGGTCCCCACTGTTGCCAGGATCACAACTGGCAGACTTAGTGGTGCCCCAGTGGGGAAGGAAGATGGAGACCCAGGAGGGGGCAGTGTGGTCTGAGGATCCCCTGGGGCATGGAGAGAGAGAATTTCCCTGCTGGAGTGCATCTGGGGGAAGGGACATGTCCTCTCCTGTGGCACACGACCCACTGGGTGCCATTGAGCTGCCCCATTTGGGATGATAGGAAGGGTACTAGGTGAAGGCAGTGAGTCTTGGTACGAGCTTTCTGTTGCAGCAAGACCCTCCCCCAGGGGATTGGCATGGGTCCATCCACTGTCACAGAGATCTCTACAATTTGGAGTTTTGAAACCCAGCCTCACACCTGAGATAAAACACAGGAGTACTGCACCACTGAGCAGGCAGACAGCTTGGACACACACATGGTGAAGGCAGGGATCTGACAGAAGTTGAGGACCCTGGAGAGGTGATTGTGTGCTCTTCTGTGAGGGCTTCCTGAAGGGTGGTGAGCACAAGTGAGCAGGGCGTCTCCATTTCCTCCCTGCCCAACAGCACTGAATGCCATCAGGGAGCAAAAGAGCACCACCCAGTAGAGGCGCCAGCCACTAACACCAAGCCCTGCTGCGTTGTGCCCTGCAGGTGCATCTCCACAAGGGAAAGTCCACCTGAGAATCAGAGCAGCAGGCCCCTACCCCAGAAGACCAGGACAAACCCCACCATTGCACCAAGTGTACTGATCAGAGTGCTGCAACACTTCAGCTCTCTGAGAAACAGGATGTGTCTTCCTTTTTATTTATTTTTTAAAAGATTTTATTTATTTGACAGAGAGAGACACAGTGAGAGAGGGAACACAGGCAGGGGGAGTGGGAGAGGAAGAAGCAGGCTTCCCACGGAGCAGGGAGCCGGATGCGGGGCTCGAACACAGAACCCTGGGATCATGACCCCGAGTGGAAGGCAGACGCTTATCGACTGAGCCACCCAGGCACCCTGTCCTTTTTATTTTTATTTCATCATTATGTTTATTATTTTTAATTACTTATTTTAATTACTTATTTTATTTTATTATTTATTTTATTTTATTTTAATTATTATTTTTTTCAAAAATACACAACTAATGAATCAAACACTACAAAAACTTATGATGTACTATATGCTGTCTAACTGAACGTAATAAAAAAAAAAATTGATTCTAGCTTCTTTTAACAAGCAGACCAAAACACACCTAGGACCTAGCTTCCTTTTCT